CTTTCAGCGTGTGTCCGTTTGCTGTGGTACGTGGTCTCTTCCTCTTGTTTCTGGCGGAACAGAGAGCCTGTTATCTACCTAGCCAATATTATTCAGATGTTTGCTATATCCAACTAGCGGTCCTACTGGTCTTCGTCTTTGATTCAGTAGGTTCACTGTCAACTCCACAGATGACTCTTTTAAGAACTTATTGCCTCTGTTCAGGTGTGCATTGACAAAACGTCTAGGTTAGTGTTGCTTGTATTACCTTGCCAATATTTGTCTTTTTACTAAATTTCCTTTTATATATCTAACTTAAAAATATTTAATTTTAACTGAATATTTACAACACTTACGGAAACAAGATAAACAAAGCGGGATGTTTTTCCAAATATTCATTTTCAGAAAGCAACAAGTGTAAAATATCACCTTATTTATACACAAACTATTATATAATTTTGTGTTACACACTATTGAATTATTTAAACAAGTTAACAATATACTGAAATGTGCAAGATTACCCTTTCGGTTTCGCAATTTCTTATAATACCGTGTAAAAGTGAAACTCGTAGTTTAGTATTATTTACCAATGCTGTTTTTAACAATAAACGTAGGTATTTATGTACTTAGATGTGCAGCGAGTGAGACGATATCTATATATAGTGTATAATTTCACAGCTTTCACATAAAATAAGGCATAGGATGCAATTTCTTTACTCCATAAAGTACGACTACGGTTGTTTTCTAGTAGTTAAGAGTCACTAGAAATATACCATTTGTGAAGTAATGCACTGGGATCTGCAATTTCGTTGCAGTAAAGCACAAATTACTGGATTTGTATTCGCTGACGGTATTAGCATAATAAATTTCTATACCAGTAGCAAAATGTCGTATAAATTGTTTTAAATGCAATTTTATAGGCTGCAAGGGTAATCAATATTTACTAAATATGTAAATGTAAAAGAACCAGTAGTCCAATACACTTTGAGTTAAAGGATGGTATTAAACTTCTTTTTATTTATTTTATTCGATTTTACCTGTGGTGAGTATGAGTATTTACATTTTGTACTGAATAATAATTTTACAGAATTGTTCGAAGATAAAGAGAAAAAAGGTTACATTTAACATTGTTCAATTTACGCAATTTAATGTCAAAAATAATTTTGGTTCGAGTATTAAAACGTTAACAAAAATAAATTCCAATCTCAATCTTTAAATTGCGTATTGATACATAATTATCTAACAAAACTTTGATTACAGAGACATTGATATTGTCTTCAGCCATTCTCACAATAAGCATTTGTCGTAAATGTTGATTGAAAAAAAAAATTAATACTATTTACTCTATGCATCTAAAATATTGATGACATAACTACAAAATCGTCACTAGCTTTCTTGAAAATCTAGTGAGAATTTCTAGGAAGAGAACAATTTTTCCACATTTTCCTGTTGCGTGCCGTCTAGTGTGCGATGATAATATATAGCTTTTATTAAATTTTCACCCACCACTGAAGACAATTTTTCCTTGGTGAATTGCAAAAGTGATATCGATTTTGCCCTTTTATAAGTACTTAACCTTTATGATATGTTAGTAACTGTGGTTCTGCCTAGTGCAAATACAAATCACAAAACCAAACCTATGAATCTCAAAAATAATGATTACATATACTGATATTACTAACAACTTATACAAATGGGAACTTATTGTATGTTGCTAGAATCCATCGTTTTCGGGATAAGTTGTAGATGTTTTAGTTAGATGAATTAGACTTTAAAACATTCTATTAAAATTCTATTAAGTTCATATATATGGTGTATTTTGTTTAATATTTTATTAAATATAAGTAATTTTTAAAATTAATTTCGAGAAGATAAATACGATTGTTCATATTTTACAAAATAAAAAATTGAAGTATATAAGCTAGAATTAACTGGAAAATTTATCTATAAATCAGCAATAATAAATAAAGTACTTAAAACATTCATTATTCTGAAGTTGTAGATAGTATGAAATAATCAATTGTCATTCTCAGGAAATACAGTTGCCTTAAAAAATCCATTTAAATGTTCCTAAGAAACTAACGCTTTCTCTTAAATTTATCTGCAGATCCAGCAAAACGCTTAAAACAAGGAAATGAAGTAAAACGGAAAGAAAACTATGACAATTAAATTATATTCATAATCGTGACACTTCTTTCAAAAGAACCTGAACAACGTCTATTAAAATTTAAAAATGTAATTAATCCAATATCTCTTTGAATGGAATGGCCATCGTTCACCGGACATAATTTCCATCCTTAATATAATTAGAATAGCAAATAGCCTATAATTTATGAGGCAAATTAAATAACTGAAGCTACCTTTTGTTGCACAATGGTAATTACTTCAGCTCCTTTCCTATTAAATATTAAAGCGGTGATATGGAGCATAACTTATGAAATTTCTAATTAAACAATTTCAAAACGCGTTTGAAAACTGCGAATTAAGGAATTTCTTTTCATTTATAAAAGAACGAACTAGAACATAACGGGTATAAACATTGTTGCGCATCCGATGCACCTAAGAAGTGCAATTTTAAACCCCAGGGTCGTTAGTCACAGAGGTGAATTCTGAGATAATAATTTTTATGTTGTTTTATGACAAGTAAGGAACTTCAACGATCTATAATTGTGTATAAGATGTACCCGGCAAACGTAGGAGTAATTACAATTAAATTACTGTATCCCTAATTGAATTAATTAACATTATTTACGGTATGGTCTATAAATAGCTGCAATTCCTTTTTTGTACATACGTTTTTTATTATTATCAGTGCTTTTGCTGGGAACTACACTGTTCGACACAACTTATGGAACGTCGAAGTTGAATTTGGTGTTATGGCCTGGCCAGCACGAACCCACACCTCAATCCCATTGAACACGTCTGGAATAACATGAAGGACAGGGACATCTACTTCTTGAAATGAAATTGGATTGGTCTTTTTGAACATGAATGCGTGGGTTTAATTAAATTAATTGAAACTTGTTTATTTCCAATATTCTCTCGAGATAATACAATGATTGCTGATTGGTCGAATAGGATCTGGTGAAAAATCACACCAATCACATTCGGTAAAACAGAATATTGTGTTTTAATGTAATCTTAATCTTATAAAGTTATTTGAATTAAGCTGCTCACAAGTGTGACCTGAAAACTCTCGAAAATCTGTTTCCATATCTACGCGGCATCTCACTTCATAACTCTCATAATTAATTCTAAAAACGGCCTGATATAAAAATAGTGCTAACCTGCTGCAGGCGTGCTGTTAACAGTATGAATCTTATTATGTAGCAGGCATGAAACATCTAAATTTTGTACCGTAGCAACCCGAAGTATGTTCTAATAGAACTTTAATTGTGCTAAAAATAGAGAAATTTGAATTTTAAATTTACGTTTATATTCAGTTTTCTGTTCTCGTTTATTTCTATCCTCTAACAGGACCCTAACGCCACACCACCAATGGAGGATAATTTGTCAAGTTTATTTTAAAAACCCATGTTTAAATAGAAGAAATGTTTTTTAACACAATTAGAGGTTCTTAATTTGGGAGACGCATATAAAAGTGTAACGGATGTTCTTTTTCGTTTTATTAGATAATGCCGCTGGAGAGGTGTTATTATGGTATAAAAATAGTCCACTTAAATTCGTTTTAAGAAGACTGGCTCGATTCATTTGGATATAATGCGGTACTTCAGACCAGCTGTGTGGAATAAAATACACCTGATTTTGATTCGGCTAGAACTTACACGTACATTGTTTGAATGTTTCAAAGTATACCTAAAGTATTTCTTTAAAAAAAATAGTGTTTTTTATTTCATTTATTTCAAAACCCATTTCTGATTAAGAAAGCAAAATTGTACCAAGGTAAATTGATCTAAATTGCTTTACTTTTAACCGAAGAAGACGAATGTAAGACAGTCAAAACCTAACCTCAAATAAGTTCTCAAAAAATGTCCCTGGTAGTGATAGTGGCGCCCTCTAGTAGATGATTAAAAACAAACAACACAGATGTATTAAGTACTATCAAAATTTACCTGTACCAAATTTTAGTGCAATACATAGTTTTTTTTGGAATATACATATAGATATAGTTAAAATTTAATTTTAAATAATAATTTTTGACGCAAATTCTTTACACTTCCTTGAGCTATATCCTTTACTTGTCTGGTGGTGCCACTTACACATGACTCGCGCACAGGTTTAAAGAAAAAAGTGTTCCGTAACAGTCTGTTACTATTTGTTGATAACCAGCCAGTTCATTTTGTCACCAATTGCGCTGTGGATGAAAAAAAATGCGGCGGGAGTAGCAAACTAGTTAAAACAACTACAATATAACTAGCTAGACTTTCGACTTAAGGTGGAATTTGCATTTCAAACAGTCAAAAAACCCTGCTCTGCATGTACCATCGTTTGCGAGCTAGCAAATTAGGTCAAGGACGGCTAAAAGATAACGTTTTAATAAAATACCATTTTACCTTCTGAAATGTATAGTTATCATAATATTTTCCTTCCATATGTTTGGTCTCGGATTCATGGAAGTTATTTCTTATGCATAAATACACTACACAAGGCAAAAAACAGATAGGACCTGCACATGTGATACAGATAAATGAACTGGCTGGCTATCAATAAGTAGTAAGGGACTATTACGAAACACTTTTTTCTTTAAACCTATGCGCGCGTCATATGGTACCTACTTGTCTATGGTACCTAGCAACACGAATCATAGAAAAACGGAGATGCGGAAAATAATTTTCATCATTTACTCCATCTAAAATATCTGGCGGACATTTGTACATATGCCAATGAAATATTCAGTGTGTTATTTGAATATGTTCACCGTTTCTTTTCCAAATATATACCGATTATCCTGTACTTTTCCTTTTTCAGTATTTGGATAGTGGATGCTCCTAGCGGAATCTGGATGGCATGAAATCAAAACAATGTCGAAACGAATACCTTGACTATTACCTTAGAAAAGGATGCGATCTCCAGAGCATAAGATTGCTCAGCCAAGAGCGGGGAAGCAGTTCGAGGATGAATTGCAGCTTAGGTACATCGCTCCAGGGGCCTTCACGGTTCTACCGCCGGACGACAACCCTCCTGATCCACCCCCTGCACCGGAGCCATACAGGTAAAACTATTTCTTGCCACTTAATCTCTGTATATATGTAAATAAGGTAGTTATGTATTTATAAAATGTATTTGTGTTGAATGTATTCATCATAACAATAGTTACGGGTCATAACATATAGTAGTTCTCGTTTTGCCGCGCCTACTGATGCGCAGTGGACATAGGTATCGCTTACCTTTCGAGAATCATTTGTATATTGTTGCGGGTTATGAATTTGGATAAATATCAACTACACTGAAACATGATGCAATAAAATATGCAAATGTACATCTATTGATACTAATTTAATGTTTTTTAGGGCTTTTCCTATATTTGATGACCTGTACATTAATGTAAATGAATTTCTAAGTACCTGAATAGTATATTAATTATTTTATTAGTTTTCCAAAGTATTTCAAGTATATTTAAGTTAAGAAATGCAATGTTCAAAAATCCCTGTAACTAGAACTATTTAGACAGTACATTACATTGTTAACGTGTACAATTTAACTATCATTCATTTCGCTTTCTACAGCTAGTTTGTTGATTGTCTGTTTTATCTTTAAAGTTGACTATTAGCTACGTTAATATCTGGAAATAACGAACCTTATTCCATTGAGAAATTCTACGAAATAATGGTTTCCAAAATAAGAAATTTTAGGTGTCATTCATTGCCATTCATTGTAAAATATTCATCTTCAGCAATTTTTCCATAAAACTCCGTCATAATTTTGAGTTACTAAACTTCAAAATATCAAATTGCAGTAAGGCAATTATGATTTATAATTTTTACCAGTGTTTTGAATATTTAAAACTTGTTTATAATACATACTTACTATAAGAAAAAACGTAACTTTTCAGCGTAATATGCTACGAAATCTTTCAAAATGGATAGGAATTGTCATTTAAAATTATCAAGATATGGTAGTTTAAAACGGAAATTAATTTCGATTTTTTTTATCATTCTTAAATCTGCTATTTAATTACTTTTTTCATGTAAATAATAGTTACCGTCCTTTCAAACTTAGATTATGCTTTCGCTTGGTGTTTAGTAATTTTTTCTAACATTTTAATAGGTACTAGTTTTGAATAACTATTTGACGTAAATACTATTTTATTACCGCCAAATTTATACTCTCTCAAAAGTTATGTTACATCCAGTAAGAATTTTTTGCCACATTCCGTATGTTTTGTTTTGGTTGTACTGAACTGAACAGAAAGTGAATTCTTTCGTTAAACGATTGGAGTCTATGTTCTTTTATTTTCGACAATTCTTAAAATATACTAAGAACACTCTTTAGTCTAAGAGTCATTTACCTCATCTTTTGGTTAACTTGTATGCTGTCCAATGACTAAAACAAATTAGTTTACGATGCTCTTTTAGCATTTATATAATTGCTTTTTCCTGAGTACCCTATTATTTCTTGAATAATATTAGTTTTTACTATAACAAAATATAACAACATAATTTTTAAAATAACTGTTTAAAAAAAATCATAATCACAATCATAGGTGTTTTAAATATACTTTACTCAACGCATATCGTTTTAAGTTGCTTTTCTAAATTCGTAGGATTCACGTAATGTTCATAGAAACGTGACATATCTTTTTAACAAATTAAATTCAAATGTTTTAGTTCCTGAATTCATTCAATCAGTTCCCAGAATTTTTCACGTTGCTGAATGAATCGTTGAATATTTAACGCCCATTTCAAGGAATTACTCACAAATTACTATTATCTGCTTTTTAACATATTTATATCTTATCGTATTACTTAAAGTTTTCATAGATAAAGACCAGTCCTGCGAATATAATACAAAGGACAACAACCTTTTATATTTACGATACCAAATTAATTTAGAACCCAGCGTTACCTATATAGTGTGTTACATTACTAGGATTAGAGGTATTGTTTGCAAGAAATAAATAGCTCAAGTCATACTAGTGGTTTCTGTCACCGATTTCCATTTGACGACAGGAGTAAACAATTGATATTGACACTGTTATTAATAGCACAGTTTTTTTATTGTATTGTCCTTAAAATAGATTGTTATAGAATAAGTAACCCAACACAAACAGAATTGGGGTGTTCAATTTTTTCTAACTATTAAAAATAATCCACTTTAAGTTATGCTGAAAGTTAAATGTCATGTTAAAAATGACAGAGCAGTTCACTAAGTAATAGAATTATATGGAAGAATCAACATTTGAAGGAAAAAACAGTTTTATGTTAAATATACAAAATATGGAAAAGTAACAAAGAAATAATAACAGAATGCTACAAAAAAATTAGGAAATATTTCAATCTGTCAAAATAAGGATAGATTTTAGTCCTAAAACTCTTCATTTCCGTGAGACATGATGAAATGATGAAATCAAAGCCGTGCTAGTTGATCAAATTTTGCGTCCCATGACGAGAAACTGTTTCAATTCCTCTGACTGTTGATTTGTATTTGTAATACAAATGCGAATGTGAAACAGCGAAAAATGAGTTTTTAAATTGAACTTTTCACCGCTTGGTGTAGGTAGCATGACTGTATATTGCACACGATACCTACTACGAGCAAGTCGAGTTCAAGACGCATGCATATGGAAAAATTCATGGAAATCTCGCTTATATTTAGCTTCTGTATTAAGATATGAAAGCGATTTGCTAAACTGGTAGAAACTTTGAAGTACTACGAAATGTTTTTTAAATTCTATTTCACAAAACTGATTAGTGATTAGCTTTTACATTACTTGTCAAATACGTGCATCATTTCGACCTTTGAAAATATTTAGTTACATAAAAAATATTGTCTACCACCTTCATTTTTTAAAAGGAACATACATTTTTTAAAAGGTTTAAAATTTATCTTCATGGTGTCAGTTTCACGAAGGTGAGGTTCAAATATATGTTACTAAGCATAAGCAAAAAAAATTAACAAATGGAATCGCTGCACTTTGTAGGTACTTAAAAATATTTAAGTCAAGTAATATAATTTTACTTAGCAATTGTCATATTCTATGAGACAGTGGTAATATTGCTATGTGTAAACAAATTCAACATACATTTTTTAAAGTAATACCTATTGTACTGTAGCATTTATTAATTAATTGTAGTGCATATTCACACATGTAATTATTCCAGATCAAAAACTTTCTATATTTAAGTAGATTAGATGTAGATATTAGAAAAATTTGTAACGACTTTCTCTGAATCGTAATGATTTTAGATTTTACCTAGTTACCTAGTTACCTTTAAAGCTTTAAATGAATTTTCTTTTTTAATCTAGCCGCCAGGAGCGATCGAGGTAAATATTTTTTACGCAAAAGCTGGTAATGATTTTTGGATGATCATTTTGGAATGCGTTGCTCTGAAATATTTTTCACGATATAGATTGCACGTGTGCAAACAAAAGAAACTAATATAGTTATCCACTTAGTTCTCTTAACTAATACCTCTTTTATCTTCTAGATTGACTCCGTCCACGAGGAGGCAAAAGAATAAAGCATTCGCGATAATCGGCGAAGTGGATTCCAGCAGAGCAAACTCTAGAAGCCCCTCGCCTACTGGAAGAATCAGCCCTTTTCGAGGACGAGGGTTCAATCCATCCGGATCGAGATTTGCATCCCCCAGTCCAACACCCCCTCCACCAGAGGATGCAAGGCTTACGCCCACAAATCTGTCTCCCCAGCACGTTTCAAGAATACCAAAACTTAAAAGAAAGGGGAGCTCAGCAGCGTTTGGAGACAAAGTTTTCCATTATGATTCTTCCCCAACGAAAAGAAAACTTGAGAGTAAGTTAAGCCAAAGTTTGACCAACTTAGAACCGAAAAGGAACACAAATAGGCCACCCCCAAGTCCAAGAAAGAATGTACAAAGCAAGACTCCAGCTTTCCAGAAACTATCGCCGATAGCTGGCAGTTCCCCGGAACCAAGTCAATCGTTGTCTTCCCCTTCAAGAATACCAAAAAGTCGTAGCACTCCGCCAAGTAGAAGATCTTCACCGACTAGGACTCCTTCATCCGTTGCGCATAAACCGCCTTCAGTAAAAAATTCTGCCAGGGTCACTTCACGGGTACAGTCTCGAAGCCAATCTAGAAGCCAATCGAGGAATACAAGCAGGGAAGCTAGTCCCACGAAAGATCCCACATCTCCTACTAGAATTCCGGTTAAATATAAAAACGTTCAAGCTAAAGTCAATAGTTATGTTAAACCTAAACCAAAAGTGCCTCCAAAACCTCAAGTGCTAAGTGAACAATCGGAAGAATCAGACGTAGTTAAAGACACGAAAACTAAACCTAGTTTAAATCGAAAGGAAAGTGTTAACAGATTAAGGACAAACTCTAGGTTAAACTTAATACAAAAAACTGACAACAAGAGCAATAATATTAACAATAATGTAACTGGTGACAGTGTAGTAAATAGAGCGAGTAATAAAAATAGTACTAAGACGAATAACAATAGTAGTAACACTATAAATAAGTCTAGTAATAACTCCACTAGTAAGGTTGGAAAAGAAAATGGTGAAGAAAACAAAGTCCTACAGTCACCAAAGAAGGAAGATCGTAGACCGTCGCCAAAAAAGGATGAACCTAAACTGCAAGGGTTAAATGAAAATGGAAAACGCAGCAGAAACAGTTCTCCTGCAAAAGGCAATACCAGAAATAATTACAAAAATACCGACATAACTTCTGATACAGATACTTCATACGATATCAAGGAAACAGCAGATAGCAACGGCGAAGGAAAGCAGATAAAAAGGACTGAAAGCTGTGTAAAGCTAGCTGATATATTACCATCAACGACAACAGTCGTTTCAAGTACAACCACCACCGTAACGCAACCGTTAAAAATAGATGCGACCGTTAACGCTATTCCTAAACCAGAAAGGTCCAAGCAAGTCTCCCCCATAGTCGACGGTAGGGTACTAAGCGCTACAAGCGTTTCTAATGCCATGAACAGGATGAACGATACAGTCTTGAATACTCAGACTGTTATTAAGGATCACGGTTTTTCCCGACTATCTCCAGCAGCAAATGCAGTTATTTCTATGGCCAGTGAAACTGGTAAAGGAAACACAGTTCCTGATATTAGAAGTATCACAACAGCACTTTCAAAAATTGAGCACAATGACACCGGTAAAACTTCTACCGCAGAACTTAATAAAGTAACTAACTCAGCAAGTGATCTAAGCCTTAGTAAAGTAACTGATAAAGACCAAAATAAAGTAGCTGATGCAGATAATAACAGAGGGTCTAATGCAGATCAAAATAGAACCAATGCAGATCATAGTAAGGAAACAAATGCTGGCAACAACAAGGTAATAAACCCGGAGCAAAATAAAATAAATAATGTAGCTTTAGACACTAAAAATGCCACCACTGCTCTACCGATAGTTGAGCCGCTGTCTCACAAACCAGAGCACAAAGTGATTACCCAAATTAAGATAAATGATCGTGGAAATAACCATACAAATCATTTAACCCACGCTGGGATAATTAGTGCGAAGGCTCTGGAAATGGAAGTCCAGAAAAATATGAACAGGCTGATCTCTCCAGAGCATCTGTCAGGCAATTCGATCCAGAAAAGCGTGAACGACAGGATCATAGAGGCCAGGACCGTGGTCGCGGCTGATGTTAAGCCAATCAGGATAACCGTTAAGGAGAAGCCTACCGATGTCGAGGTGCAAAGCGGTAACATAAGGCCGCCAGTTAGTGTTTCTAATGGACTGAACGAAAGACCGAGGTAAGTTTTGATTAGCTGATTACTCACAGTTTCGTTTCAGTGTTGTTTTATCGGCCCAAGATCAACCTTCACGAAACTAATAAAGTGAAATCATTTTATCGCACGCTATTTTTAGCCGCAAAGTCGTTGTTTTTTTATTATTAATACTAGAATTGGTTCATTTTTACTAGCATGGTGACTGCGTATTTTTCTGTTTGTCACATTTCTATATTTCAATTATGATACTCCTTTTGGCGCATATTTCATTGTAAATAAATATTACTGGCAGTCAAAGGACAAGGTAGGTGGTAATAGTTATATTAGATTATATGTTTCTGTTAAATTTATATAGAGTAAGGAAGGAAATTGTCGGATTGTAAATTGGAAGATTGTTAAAATTCATTACAAGTACGGAGAGTGTGTAGCTGAGATTCTGCGTAAATTACGTAAAATTTTCGGTAGAAGAAACGCCCGAATGAACCTAAATGAAACGAGTTACTTTTTGTGACACGCTTTATATTATGTTCAGAATTATGTGGGAAAAATTTATAAAAAATAACAGCTCATTTCACTTCTAACAAAAGTAGGCACTACCAAACCTCGCGATTTACATTAAAGCAACGCCACTTCTCCAATTTGGTTCACATTAATTTTTATCATTAGTTACTAATTGTAACATACTTATTGGTACTACAAGACGGAAATATAACATTACGACCTTTACTTTATTCATGCTAGGTCACTATCAGTGTTTTTTACACGCACGTTTACATCCGACCAAACCGAATTATAGATTTCTTTGTTCCGATGGACCACTAACCCCAATAGAAGTTAAAATTAGCGGCCAATAATTTTGGCTGGAACCGGTGTGAAATTCACCGACGTCCGTTTGTCGTATTATTCGTTCCGTGTTGATTTAAATTTTCTTTTTGCCATTTAGAATAGTACGACTGTGAAAATATAATTATCGAGATTGTATATCTGTTCCGAGGCAACGGAGGTACTTATTAGACTATGAAAATTTTAATTAGGCAAGATGAAGTAGGTAGCTTAAGACCAACGCACTGACGGGTGACTTTTTGCAGCGATCGCGGTTTGTGGTAACCGACAGATATGCACATTTTTTATAAGTACACTTGTAACTATGTATTTAACAACAATGTCTGTTAGTTGGAAATACTACGAAGCACCCTTAGTGTTTCAAATGAAAAAGAAGGTTCCTAAATATATGCCGTAAAGGAAGTTCAATGAAATACGTAAGGTGTAAATTACCATATCATAATGGTATCAGGCCTATTCATGCAAATTTGTCGGAATGAAATATATGTCACCAGTATATGTTAGCTTCCTAGATCGTTATGGGAACGGAAACGACTTTTTAATGTAAGTTTTTGAGTTATCGGAACTGATTTTCCTACTTGTAAGTAATAATTTCGTGTTATAGAAATGCAAAACAGTGTACGAAAACAACTATTTAATATAAATATATTGTTTATCTGCTCCCACATGTAAGTGGATTTTACCGTAGAAGTGGGTAACTTACCTCCCTAGGGAAAAAAACGATTTCGAGTTATAAATATTTAATGAACATTACGCATTTTATTAATTATTATGAATGAATATTTATATGAATTGTATAGTTATTACATTTAGTAACATTTATAAAATCTGGATAATTATTATTATTCCCCTCGCGTTTACTAATTGTCATATTTTTCTCAAAATGATTTTATCGCTCCATTTCAGTCATCGAAGATTCAATATTATTTGACTGATCCATTAAAACAGCATGATGCGACGTACTACTAGAACCTGTAGTTGTCATTGTAAAAAATCCTGTTGGCTATTTCACTTTTGTTACTTAAACTGTCAGCAACACAACTTTCTGCAATTGTGACTGATTTCCACCCATCACGTCTCTTGATTGCTAATACATCAACTCCTGTATTAGCCAGTAATGTTGCCGATGTTCTTCGGAATGAATGACCTGTATATGTTTCAGGATGTTCTAGTTTCAAAAACTGTGCAATTTTGCTAGGAACCATAGATAATTGTGCTGATTAATCTACCGTAATGGAATATTTTATAAATATACATAAATATACGTCCAAAAATTAAAAAAAACGATGACGTATAAAACTAGGATGACGTATAAAACCTTACCAAAACTGCAAAAATGAAGATACTTGAATTTTGCAAATTGCTTTTGGTTTCTGCATATTTACACTATGTGTATACCAAATTTCAAGTGTCGGCAAAGCTTCGACCAAATTTGGCAAAGTTTCGAGTTTCAGATGCCGATGGATGTATAAAACCTTATAGAACAAAAAATTTTGCTCTCCTGATTTTCGGCTTTAGCGTCATTATTGTATATATATATTGAACTATAGTTTTCGAAAGTTTTATCATTTTTTGTTTATAATTGACATTTTTACAGCAACTTAAAAAAATTGGCGTTTTATACCGTTTTTTCAATCACACGGCTTTGTTATTGCAAATTTCGTAATCGGAGCACCACCATTTTGTAGCTATTTTTATTACGAACAAAATCATGTCCTAAGCATTTTTTCGTACAAAGTCATCCCGCTGAGTTATTTAAAGAAAACTACTAAAAAAATATTTTTTCACGATTAAATTGTTAATAACTTTTTTTCCTGATAAAATACTTTGTCAGCAAATTAGCCTGTTATTGTACTCATCATTTAAAGTGTTCCTGTGTAGTTATTTCCAAGTTATCAAGAAAATGTCACCAATAGTAACTTTTCGGCCTCTGCCGACTGGAGTATTGGAATTGTTTCATCAAGCAGATTCTCATCTCGTGTACATATTGACAGAAAAATATATAAATATCAAACTTTTGGCTTCGTTTGTTAAGATTAAAAAAAATGAGTTTGAATTAACTTAATACCTNTAACACCTTATAGAACAAAAAGTTTTGCTCTCCTGATTTTCGGCTTTAGCCTCATTATTGTATATATATTGAACTATAGTTTTCGAAAGTTTTATCACTTTTTGTTTATAATTGACATTTTTACAGCAACTTTAAAAAATTGACGTTTTATACCGTTTTTTCAATCTCACGTCTTTGTTATTGCAAATTTCGTAATCGGACCACCGCCATTTTGTAGCTATTCTTATTACGAACAAGATCATGTCCTAAGCATTTTTTCGTACAAAGTCATCCCGCTGAGTTATTTAAAGAAATCACTAAAAAAATTTTTTTCACTATTGAATAGTTAATAACTTTTTTCCTGATAAAATACTTTGTCTGCAAATTAGCCTGTTATTGTACTCATCATTTAAAGTATTCCTGTGTTGTTATTTCCGAGTTATCAAAAAAATGTCACCAACAGTAACTTTTCGGCCTCTGCCGACTGGAGTATTGGAATTGTTTCATCAAGCAGATTCTCATCTCGTGTACATATTGACAGAAAAATATATAAATATCAAACTTTTGGCTTCGTTTGTTAAAATTTAAAAAAATTAGTTTGAATTAACTTCATACCTTTGAAAAAAAAGATGATTTGACTTATAACTATTGTTTTTAAAAATGTTTAAAAAGATATTGTGGATATTAAATATAAATGACGTACACAAAAGATATTAGTAAAAACTTACCCATTTCAGAAACGAAATTGACCGTTCAACATTTACCGAGGCCACATACGCATGTCTAAAATAGTTGAAGTTTTTAATACATGCTATTTTTACTAATACATCAACTACTTTTAGTAATCCACAATCAACGTCATTATAGTTACAAGAACATGTACATCTCTGCCTCTGATCTTAAGCTTCGCATCGATCAATTTATTCAATACGTATCTAACAGCACCCTAATGCTTGCCCTGTTGTCCTGTCGTCCAGGCTCTTTGCTGAGGGACATTGTACGTGTGAGTGAGTTTTATGCTTTGCTCGAGTGTATGGCAAGTGTTTTTATGGCAGTCAATAGCATTGTGTATCGTGAGCATAAAGCGGCACACGGATTGACCACAGATTTCGCCGCTTACCAGCACAATAGAGATACTACTGTTTATTAACTTGATTGTCGTCACAAAGTTTCTGATGTCTACATATGACTGAATCAACAATAATTCTAAGAACACTTACAAAAAGTTTTTGACATTATTTTGTTATCCTCCCATATAAAAATTATTCTCTCACAAAAAAGAAAAAGTAATTGGGTAAATAACAATGAATTTTTGTTGGGAAAAGTTTTGCCGTAGGATTAACTTAAATTTGTTTGATAAATTATATCCAAGTTTGAAAAAATAGTGACAATCATATACAGAAGGCGAAGTTCATTGTAAAACATACTCTACTTTCAGCAATTCCTTTTCCTCCAATTTTTGTGCGCCACATCTGGATAAGAACTTACAAATTTCTGTGTTTACGGTATTAGGAATTATGTGCTCTTTATTTCTTTTGCATTACATTACTTCCAACGATATATCCAAATAAAATATTATTCTTTATGAAAATGTAAACATATTCAAATCTTAAAGGTAAAAGAGTTAAGGCGCGCGGTAAGTCACGTGACTGGTCAGTATTGTAAGAACTGCCAGGAGTCACGCGACGAACAGGGGTGAACAAAATGAAAGTCATACTCAAGAAATGCGGGTTCACAAAACGTTCTCAGCATGTCAGATGGACAATGTCTCGATTTTAGCTACGCCGCACGAATTTGCCGCAGTGTTTGTCATGTATGCCTTTGTTTAATGTACCTTAACTCAGATTTTGCTAAATTGGCCGAATGAGTTGCAGTTTTCACATGGTTTGTTTGTTGAGCAATATACTGTTATCAACGACTTTTTTTAATAGAATTTGTCGAATTTTACTTAAAAGATTGTCGAATTTTAATTAATAGATGTATCATTTTATGGTGCCCATAATTTTAGCTGTTTTGCCGCATTCAATACACGTGTTTTTATACAGTACGTTCAAGTTTTGAAAGGAAATTCTCAAAGTTAAAAAAATACTGAAAATTTTGCTAAGTACACTAGGCTTCTTTTTTCCCTAAA